TCCGATTAAAAAACAAAACAACTAAAAGTATAAAAGCTACGTACAAAACAAAACAAAAAACCGTGGGATCAGACGACTAAACTTTCAAGACTCAGGGCCAAATTCTGTAAAGGGAGAAAAAGGAAAAAGAAAGTGTGAATCTTACGGGCTGCAGGGGAAGCGTGTGGAGGGCCTGAGTCCCAGGGTCCCCCGCTCACCTTTTTCATCCTCCGCTCCCGCGAGGCCTGCGAGTCGGTCTCTGAGTAAGGTGGAGGTGCTGGCGGGTAGTGACCCCCCTCCTCCTGCTCCTCCTCCCTGTAAAGTCGCCTCCTCTCCCCAGACCCCTTTTTCTTTATGGCCTCTTCTAATAGTCGCCCGTCATAGTGAGGGTCTCGGGACGCGGGGCCAGCATCCCGGGGATCCCGGGGTCTCTGATGGGATCTGGGGTTGGCATGGGAGTCCCTAGACCTCAAGTCATCGTAATAGTAGGGATCCCGGGAATGAGGGGAGTCCCGAGGATCGTGGGGGTCATAGAGGTCATCGCGGCTGCGACTTCTGGGAGGTGCGTAGGCCCGTCCTCTCCTCCCACTGCTTGGGGGAGAAGATCTTCCAGATTCAGTGGAGCCAGGCCTGTTGATGTCATCCAAAGCATCCACAGAGCGGGCCCGAGGCCGCCCGGTATCCCCAACCACCCCTCGGCTGTTCTTGAAGGGGTTCCCGCTCCCACATTCTGGGACTCCGAGGTGAGTGGTGACTCCACTCCTCATCCCGGATTGAGGGAAGGGCAGGACCCCTGAAAGGCCGAGATCTCCAGTCATCTTCATGGAGGGAGGTGACTTCACTCATGGCTGTAGAGAAGGGAGATGTCACTGGTACTGACTTAGGTCCACCCTTGCCACCCGTAGGCTCCCACCCTCCCCTGGGAGCGCAGCAGAAAAGGCGTGTGAGATCAGTAGCAAGCATACTTCATCCCCCTCAGGCTCAGATCTGTAGCTCACCCCGTTCCACTCGGCCATTGGGAGGGCCGGGCCGGGAAGGGTCAAAGTTGGCTAGCTCCTTCTCCATATAGTATAAGACCCTCATGGAGTCGTCCTGCTGTATCCTGTAGCCACTTCGTACTTCTGAGGAGAGAAACAAGGTGATTGATTTCGGGGGGAGGGGGGCACGTGGGCCAAACTCTTCAGGCACATTCAATCTCAAGACAACAGGTTCTTACCTGGAGATACACTGCCATCCACATCTCGCAACAGAGGTACCTGGGAGCTGTGGCCACCGACTAGCAGAGATCATTTGTCAGCCATTGCTCTTTGGAGCCAAAGCAGGGCACCCCCAATCCCCCATGCTCCCTTAAAGCCCCATCCCACCCAGTCTGGCTTCCCCCAGGCCTTACCTGAACTATTCCTGTCAAAGTCTCCAGGGTACCTGCCACAGAGAGGGCCCATGGGAATCATGGCAGGGGGGGGGAGGTGGGGGTGAGGTGGGTGTAGATGCTGGGGGCATAGATGCTGGGGACCCCCGAGGTGGCTGCTTTGCCCGCAGCGTAAACTGGGAGGGCAAATTGGCATGAGAAGGGTAATCAGAAGCTCTGCTCTCCCTTGCTGGAATGGCACTCTGGGGGGACATGAGTTTGTCCCCTCCAGTCCATTCCTGCAACACTGTAAGTTAGGGGACACAGCTGGCTTCACATGGAGTTCTGAGAACAGGGGTGCACACTGGTAGGTGCACAGGATGGTTATTTGACAACAGTGACAATAGGAAAGTTTCATTCGAAACTCCAGGCCGATTGTGTCTGTTTTGGAACTGGGAAAGGATCCCAGAACCTAAGACTTCTTAGGTTAAGTGTTTTACCACTGAGCCATGTTCCCAACGCCCCCCCTCCTTTTTTTTTTTGTCTTGAGACAGGTCTTAAGTGGCCCAGGAGGATCTTAAACTCATTCTGTAGCCAAGACAGACCGACCTTGAACTTGTCATCCTCCTGCCTCAGCTATCAGAAGCTAAGACTGACAGGCTTGCACCTAAAGGCAATAATAGAGTCACTCTGTCACTCCCCTTAGATAAATAAAGCCCCCCCCCCTTCTGGGCCCACTACTGTCTCCCTAAGCCGGGGCAGCCTATCTCATACTGTGTGAAAAGTCATGATGAAGACAAGCACACAGGAACCTCGGAAGTTACTTTGCCTGCACCCCGGAGTAATACATACCTTCACGGTTTCCAGTTGCTGGCCACACCCACTCTTACCCACCAGCTGATTCTAGCTTAACAGCTCAAGGGTAAATCCTTCTCAGGCTAGAGGCTGAGTCCTGGTGGCAATTCCTAAATCAGTTCACGGGATCCAGCTCAGCTTGGTGGTGCAGGCCTATAATAACAGCTACCTAGGGGGCTGAGGCAGGAGGATTGCAACATGTCCAAGGCCTATCGGAGCTATTGGGTTTTTTGACTGTTTATTATCATCATCGTTTATTTACATTTATAAAT